ATATTGTAATGACGATTGCGTTTACATTATATTTAAGCATTGATGAATAAATAAAAATAGTTATAATATTAAATTTATGAAGTAATATAATGATAAATACACTGACATTTTACTGTACAGCCACAAAACAAACATTAAATCGTGCATATAGGAGTAGAATACTCATGCATAATGCGGGAATATTATAAAATATGTACTTTTTTTTTGTTTCAGAAACTCACCTATCAATAATGACGGGATCCGACGGCGTTTCGTTGCGATTTCCACAGCTCTTCTTGTCACAACAGCGGCTGGAACAAAAACGTGAGTAAAATGAAAATTGAAAATAGCGAACCTCTAATATTTTACCAACACATCATTGTTTAAATGCAAAATTCATTTATGACACATCGATTTCAAGTGCGAATCCCTTGTGTCCAGCAACTAAAATCTATGATCGAAAAGAGATTGATGAGCTCAAAATAAGTCCCTACACTCCCTTCTATTTGAGTCAGTAAAATACTATCATATCTTTATTGAAATGGTTTATCATTGTGAGACATGTTCACACATATGGAATACGATAACGTCTTTACGATGTTCTTTATTTTGTTGCAGAATTTTTTGTAGAATTACAAAATTTGATCTCCAAATTATTTTAATCTCATATAATATGCAAGTAGGACTAAAAATATTATTTTCCCCGGTATACACAAGAATTGTATTTAAAAATGCTGCAATTGTCAAATGAAACATTTTTGGATGGTATCGCCATTATCTTGTAATAGACTAGACAGTATTAAAATGAGCGTATTTATTTTCTTACTATGTCTCTAATATATCATCAGAAGACATTTATTTCTTTAAAGAAGCTCGTACATATATAAGAAAGGCCACAGATGCCGTGTAGGAAGAGCATTTCTTGCACGCAGCGAAGTCTTCGTGCTCTTGAATGAGCATTTCTGAAGTGGGCAATAATTTTCTTCAGACATATTCTGAAACTCCATTTTATGCACGGTCAGGAAATTAAAATGCTTCTTTGGAAACAGGTTAATGCCGTCGTAATAGTTGGTGCACTCACTTTGATTGAAAGAATATTGGGCTTTTCCATCGGGATACAAAATTGTTTTGTAGGGATATTTTTCCTCTGGTTTGTTATTCAGAGTTCCATTAGTGATTCACAACGACAATTACTTTGGTCCCAGATTAATAATTTTAGTACATAGTGTTATGATTATTGAGACGAAATGGAACTAAAACTCAAATTACTCCGAGTCTTCATGGGAAGTAATGCTTTAGATATTCGAGCAAGGATTACGAAGAAAGGTTGTGTGAACTAAGAGTTGCGAATAAATATACAAAATGAGGGCTTATAAAAGTTTTTAATTACGTATTTAAAGAACTTTTTTGTTATACAATATAATCAATTTATAAAATGTTACTTAAAAAGATGGATTTCAGCATTTAATAAATTCATTTCACGTCCATGATAATAATAATCTTTGAATATCTGGGGGTGCTCAGTTTCATGTTTCTTTTACACATTAATTATAATAGATTTTTATTCATGCTCTCAATAGATTTTGCATTTAAGATGCTCGGATTACGCACTCTCTTGTTCAGAAACGCCAGAAATCTGGAATGGGAAATGCGCTTTTCACACGCAGCAGTATCTACAGACGGGCGGCGGCGAGGCTGGCGTAAATCCAACGCACGCTTCCCCGCCTCTTCCCGGTGAAGCGGGCCAGCCGGCGGCCCGCGACGCGAGGAGAGGCGTGGCGTGGCGTGGCGTGGCATGGCGCTCACGATAACAGGTGACAGCCAGACGCGTCGCGACGCCTGTCGGTGCTCAGTCGAGCTTTGATGAGCGCGCGCCTCCACCCGGTCGCCTGTCCGCCGCGCGCCGTCCTCGCCGAGCTCCACCCCCGCTCCGTCCTCGTCCTCGTGCTCGCCCGCGTCCCCGTCCCCGTCCCCGTCCTCGACGCCCATAAATTGGCTCGTCCCCGAGCGGTCGGCCTCGCCCGCGCACGACGGACGCCCACTTCGGTATCTATACGATCGGCCGCCGGTGGACGAACGGCCGGAATCACGCGCGGGGCGTGGCGGGTGGGGCGGGGCGGTGCGGGGGGTGCAAGGGGTGCAAGGGGTGAAGGGGAAAGACTAGTCGCGAAACGAGGAGACTCGATGGCGCTCAGCGATCGGCTCCGTTTAGCCGAGGAGAACTTGTGGGAACTCGCGGCGTAGGGGGAAAGCGCTCAACCCTCACGTTGGGTCGCAAGTTTAAATTCAGATCTTTCCATGTGGTGTTCAATTGGAGTAAAGGGAGCATACGGCAAGATACAATTTATGAAATCATCTAAATGTTCTTGCCATTTGCTTCTCTCATAGTCCTTACTGTGTCTGCATATTCATTCGCCATTTATGATAAATATGTTTCCCACAATATGTTTCTCACGTGCCAATGTCCCTTTCAACTTTCATGTCCCCAACAGAATTCATGTATTTAGTTTTGAGTTAGAAATGCGATCTTTCAACAATAACTTATTTGTTGTATGTACTATATTTTTGAGCATAATTTGTTTATTACACTACAGAGGAATACAGACATATTGAGAAAATTAGAAAGAGAATGTACAAAACCTATAACAGTATACAAAATTCACGAATTCTTCCATGTATTCGCAACTATATCATTTACTTATATTATTTTTAAATTAAATTGATAATAAAAATGTATTTCATAGACAATTCAGAACCTACACAAATTTGTGAACATGCATAAATTTGCAATTTGCAATTTGCAGTGATCTTAATGTTTCTAAAAAGAAAAAAAAGAATAGAGAAAGATATAGTATGTCTTACTGCATTCTGTCCACACGGTAGAAGGGGCAAACGTTAAATGCGATTTTAAGTACTAAATATAAGATAGCAAGGACACAATATATGACAATAACTCACTTTTCGTCTAATCAGTCAGAAAACATATTTTGCCTAAAGAAATTCGGTAAGATATTATCAGGAAAATATATATAATTAATTTGTTTAAAATACTTTAATTAATGTAAACATTGCAGAATAATATTTTGTATTTTGAGTAAAGTAAATCATTAAAATTCAACTTAAAGGTAATTGTAAATATAACAATCGTAAATAGAGAGCGAAAACGACCAAAACGTTCTTTACCAGAATTGTTTTTCTGCCCTTGTTCTATTCATGTCGAAATTTCACACCCATCAGCTTCTGATGGTCTCGATTAAACCTCATATAATGCTGCTTACTCAACATGAGCATACACTGTGAGATTGAATGTTCCTCAAATGGGTTTAATTTTGAAGCGTTCTTTTCAATAAGTTGAAGTCTGTTTGTCCAGCTGAGACGATCAAAGAGGTGAACACTAGGTTCGGTAAATAGGACGCGAGATCGTCAGACCAGTAAAACGCCGTCGTCAAAAAGATGTAGCAGATGGCTAGCGGCAGAGCAAAAGTGGGTGGCGTGGCAGCAAGAGAGCTTGTGAGCGGCGAGGGTGGCAGTGGGGAGGGGAAGGTGGACCCAGAGCGAGGGGGAGGAGGGGCCCGGGCTTTAGGAACGCGGCGGAGCGAAGCGCGGCGGAGCGGCGCGGAGGAGCGTGACATTT